TATAGTATACTATATGTATATATTACTATAGTATAGGTCATGAGTCCCCAAACCTGGTAACTTTAAGACTTGTGGACTTCAACTCCCAGCTATGCTGGCTGGAGAATTGTTGAAGTCCACAAGTCCTAAAGTTGCCAAGTTGCCAAGTTTGGGAACTCCTGACCTATACTATAGTAGTATATACATATAGTATACTATACCTATATCAAAGAAAGCTCCCGTGAGTTTAACAACACCCATATTTCCAAGGTTAGAAACGGAAGATTGCAATGCGAGCTCCCACCTGCTGGTAATCCAAACCTCCCTAACCAAAATCCACACCACCAAAAGGGAGAGACCGCACTTCCGCTCATCACCCCCTCCCTCCAGTTACTTTTACCCAGCAGCGTCTCCATGCAAAGGAAAAGGATGGCACGAAATCTGTGACCGTTTTTTAAACCAGTGGCAAAGAGCTTTCTTGCAAGCTCAACTAGAATTCGATTGGTGGGGTTTCCCCCCCCCCTAACAACACCGTGCACAATTTCCCGCCCACTGACTGTTTAAAAAAAACCTTTTCACAAGCCAAGCTGGTCGGTTAAGTGGTGTTGGGGGGGGGGCGGGTGATTGAAGCAGTGCGAACCCCTCTCCTGGGAGGTGATTGGAGGGGAGGGTGGTGATGTTGCTTAAAGGGAAACCCGCAGTTATTTCCAGGTTTGTTTAGGTAATTTCGTCCTTCTGCCTGCGCCAATGGGCTTTAAACAGTCCATCTTCCACTCGGCAAGTTTCTCCTTTCCACCTGAGAATTAGCTAAGGGGAAGCTACCAATGTAGGGGCGACGCCCTCTGCAGCCAACGTAATACACAATCTTTTTTTCCCCTCACCCTCTTAACGCCCCCCCCCCGCTGCCCCCTTTGCCTCTTAGCACCTCCCTAAGTCACCCCACCGCCCCCCAGGGGATGGTACTGCCCACTTTGGGAACCACTGCTATACACTATAACAATGTGTAAATACCCAGCCAGTTGTAATTTATTACACAAATCATAGTAAAGTAAAATACAAACTGACATAAAAATTATGGCCAAACAGGAAACAACCTAGACTGTCCTTCATGGGTTATTTTGCACACAAGCCTCCAACATGGATTTGATGGATAGATATTTAATAGCTATTTTGATGGAAGAAATCAGTGAAGGAGAAATTGCTTTTAAATCACAGCAGGGTACAGCATGTAAACATTGTAGAAAAAAACTGGATTGCATCGTGTGACATAGTAAGCTAAATTTAATTCACACTTGTGAGTCTAGGCTATTATCTTTAAGAAGCCAATAATAAAAATTCTGTTTAGCCTGTACTAATCTCTATTTAACACATGTACAAACTCTTTCAGAAATACACAAATATAAATATAGGTTTTAAATATGAAAACAGGTGTTGTAGTTTTACCTCAAAGACGGAAAATCCTTCATTAAAATACTGTATATTTCTTATAAAGTGAAATTACTAGAATATGCCCTCTACATGGGCTGTCCCGAAGATTACTTGGTAGCTGCAGCTTGTCCAGAATGCAGTAGTAGTAGGGCAGATGCCTCAATGTGCTCATATTACACCTGTGCTCTATGAGCTGCACTATTCTCATTGTGAAGTGTCCTTGGTGATTAGCACTCATGACATTACCTAGTTTGGGTAATGAAATGTTTGTAACAAAACAACCAAGTTCACAGAGCACTGAGGACCCCTCATTTCAAATACTCCTTTATTGCTTTCCATTGTCTTTTGGGTGGAATTAAGGTGTAGATTGTCATCTATAAAACCCACCATGGTATAGAGCCAGTTTGTTTGTTGGGCTACCTGTTCTCAGCTGTTTGTAACATTCTCTAGATCAAAGAAAGAGGTGTCTGTTGCAGATCCTTTCAACTAAAAAATGTGGACATTTTGAACTTTTCGTATTTTACACCATAGAAAAACATGAAAAAATGTATTCCAAAATGTATACATATTCCCAAATTTTTCTGTACTTTGTGCAATACACACACACACATTATCTCTGAACCTTTTAAACCTCTATACATGCCTTTACATCTATGTTGACCAACTGCTCATGTTTTAAACTAGTCTGGATGAGATATTTGCAACTATAATATTCTACCACTAACTTTAAAATGTCACATTCTGAAGTTGAATTGTTATATAAAGGAAATTTTGTAAGCAGCAACGTTTCCAGAGACATATATGCATAAGTTACCATATATATATGTTACCATATGTATTATCCTGAGGTTGTTCTCTGTATATTGCCAAGAGCATCCATTCTTTAAGAGGATGGAATTGAAATAATAATGAACAAACACATTTTTTTACTGAGGTGTAAGTAAAAACAGATGTCTCCACAGCTACATAAAGTGTTTTGCATTAATACAACCATTACAAAACTGAAAAAAGAATCCCAAACAGGAAAACCACAGGGCATTCAGAAGTGACTTCTCCACAAAGCATAAAAACAGCAAAAATGATTCAATGACAGGAAAAATGACAAGCATTTATTAATTCCATATGCCCTTAAAAAGACTTACCTTCATGCATTTCATGTTCCTCTGAAAGCAAATGGTAGCAACATCCCACACTGCAAACTGCCTTGATTTCAGGTACAACATTAAACAGTCTCAATGTGCTTGGAGCAAGATCACCACAGGTATGCAGACCCACAAGTACACAGTCCTAGGAAACAAAACACAATTCAAACCAGGCTATGAGGGTTAGATGAACACATATGTTAATAATTATCATTGTACACATCATAACAATCTTGGACTGAGACAGGAAAATTATGAAATCTAGAAAAATTCTAGTTCCATGAGCTTAAGGCAAGTTATATTACTATTCATTTCTCTCTCATCCGGGGGTGTAAAATAATGGAAAATTAAAAGTCCTTGGCAATCCTCTAACATAGTAATGGGAAGATGGTCTATTGACAGGATAACAGCAGAGTTTGGAAGAAATCTGAATTAGGCAAGTCTGACTATAGAAATCATTCTTCTCCCCCCCCCCCCCCCCCATACTGAACAGAGAGATTGCTTTAAAAAGTGGAGAGGGGAGTCATTTCTCCTGTTCCTGACCTGTTTCCCTCCTCTCTACAACTTGTAGAGCAGAGATTGAAGAGGAAGGGATTACAAGAGAATAAGCAGGCACACAAGGGGGTATACACCAGGCTTTTTGCATAACAAACTTATAGCTTCCAGACCCATAAAGCTTTTGATATGTATTTCCCATTTGTGTGTCTGACTCTTTTGAATTCCCTTTTTCTCCAATGAATGCAAATATAAACAATAATTTCCTTCCTTGCTGGAGTGAGTGTTCTAAAAGGCCAAGGAGTGAGAAAAAGGAAAGTACAAACACAGTCACATTTACAATTTAGCAACTTTCATTTAACAACAGACATACCAGTCCCAGTTGTAATTGCTAAATGAAGATACCTGTATTACTTTTTATATAGAGTTTCACTCCATCTTAAATGCATGTGTTACAAACTAAAACTTGATAATCTAAAACTATTAGATTTGCATATAGAATGGAAGAATGTGAGAGAACAAAAAGTTCTCCTCCTGATGATAGAAAGTTTTAGCTGGCAGAGAGAAACTAGCTATAGTCTGTTGAGTTCTATTAATTACCCTGTTTCCCTGAAAATAAGACCTATCAGGATAATAAGACCAATTGGGCTTTTAAGTGCATGTGCCATAATAAGCCCTCCCCCGAAAATAAGCCCTCCTCAAAAATATTGCAACACAGCAGCAGCCATGAGGTGACCCTGCTTGCTACTTCCTGCACCTCAAAAATAATAAGAACTCCCCAAAAATAAGACTAAGCGCTTATTTCGGGGGGGGGTCAAAAGAAAATAAGACCCTGTCTTATTTTCAGGGAAACATGGTAGGTGGTAATGTATTTTTTGATTTTGTACCTATTTTTCCAAATACTGTTAAGTTGACTTCACAATATGTTTAAAATGCAAGAATCTGAAGCAAGGGATTTGCTATACACAATTTTTGCAAACATAGCAGTAGGAAAATGTGTTTGATACATTCACTGTTTGATTACATATCTTAATTTGCAATTTTTTTGTCATGATAAATTGAATTGCATTCAAGTGTTACCTCTTCCTATTGTCTCCCTCTCCCTATTTCATACATAATTAAATTAGAATAATCTATACAGGATTTAATTGTGTATGCATTGTGTATATGGGGCTACAGATTATTAATATGAAATAATTAAAATTTGTATGAACATATTTCCAACAAAACTTTCTGGCAAAAAATGTAAATCATATCTCATGAACTTGGAATATTGTAACCGAGCTGGTTACCAAGTGCCCAAAATGCAATTATGTGACTGCAAGGATGGGGAGGGAGTGCCAGCATCAGAACTGGTTGTAAGTACATTTTGGGAATTCTGTCATAACTTCAAATTGCCTCAAGTGCCCAATTGTTATAACACATATAGCATATCATATAATATAATAATGTAATTGTAATGTTATACATAACTATGCCACATTTGTATTCCTGTAAATACATGTTATTTTATATCTACTCTAACCTCTCACAGAAAAGCAGTTTTAATTCAATATTTTTCAATTCAGACTCCGAAATCAGATTAAAAAGTTGAAATAAGAATAAATAACCTCCAGATCTCCAACAATATCACGTAGCTCTGTTTCTGCAGTTATAAACGATGTCAACGGAGAATAAATGTTGGCCTCTTTTGACCGGCTGGCTTTGGCTTTCAAAGAAGCCGCCTTCCTTTGTTCTTTCTCTTCTTCACAGAGCTCTCTGCAATTATTTCTGGATGAACAATCTACTTCTACCGCATCGGTAGGCAGAATATCTAGAAATGCATTTTCTGATATATTGTTCTCAATGAGTTGCACCCGAACCTCAGGCTTGAGTTCATACTGATTTTTAGTAATCCCTATATTAGGATCTGGGCTAATTTCAGCTGATTCAGTACCAAGAGCATCTGAAACAGCCACTTGGACTTGGCTCTGAAGACTTTTATTAGTTCTTAACCAAGTTTCACTGGTCTTTGCGTTATATTTCTCCTTATCTTGTTCTGCACTTTTCTTGGCTTCTTTCAATGTCTGATCTCTGACATTTGCTTCTGCATGTCTTTGATAGGCTGTCCAGTGTTTTTTTAATTTCCTGTTTCTTTCATTAGCTCCATGGGTGTTTGTATTTGAAGAATCAATTCCATAAACCTTTAGATCATATTGCAATGACAAGAAAGAGCTCAGGTAACCTTTTCCAGAACCCAGGTCAATTACCTAGAATGTAAATAATAAGAATTTTTTTTAAGTAGCAGATACCCCTTCTAAAACTTAGCGTAAATTTACCATGAAAATTATAAGAAAAAAAGTACAATTATTTTTAACAGATGGCAATGTTTGGATGATAAGACTTTATATTAATAAACTATAAATTAGCCCCCTGCATTCATATTTTTGATCCATTTTTGCATTTTGTGGAAACAAGCCAACAACATAAACTACAGAATCTTGTTTATCAGACCATGGGAAATGATAGTCAATGGCTTCATATGTGGGCATGGATCAAAAACTCTGTTGATCATTTTTGTGGAAGACCTGCAACATGACTAGATGAATAGAGGTATCCTTCTGGACTGATCACAGATATTGGATGTTAAAGGTACTTATGTTATAATAGTTCCATTTCTTGTTGCATCAATGCTTATAATACTAGGGGTGGGAGGCAAGGAGACTGAGCTTCTGGTCACTCTAACAGATGAGTTTTTATTCCATGATTTTAATATCTATATAAAACCATAGGAAGAGTTCATCCATCAGTTAGGGATAGGTAACCGTCAGCAGGAAGATGACACTCGGTTGAATTTTTCCACTACCTGACCTATGAGGCTATGAGTGACTGGATGAAATAAAAAATAAAATAATCCAAACAAGATGAACTGATTTTTTTCCCCACAAAACCATCTTTCTCTTCCTTTAGATGGGATCTCTCTTCCCCTGAAAAAGTATGTTTGTAACCTAAAGGTTCTTCTGAACTCAAAGAGTTCCTTCTTGAACAGCAAGCAAAAAAGTGTGATTAGGAATATCTTTCCCCACTTTTTGGTGACTATCATTGGATGCTCTTTTCATCTCATGTTTGGATTGCTGTAATGCATTTTACGTTGAACTGCTTCAGCAAGATATTCAAAAATTAAAATTAATGGAGAATGCAAAAGCTAATTCAGTAATTAAGAGCTGTTTCAGACAGATTATCATCTGTATTGTGGACACCACACTGGCCAGAAATAAATTTCTGGGTACATATCAAAGTGCTGGTTAAGTATTTTATCTTTGAATTTTTATCTGCAGGATCATCTCCTCCAAATGGAATCTGCCCATTCTGTACACGAGCCCCCCCCCCTTCAAAAAAAGCATAGTCAAAATCCAGTCCCAATGTGCAGCTAGAGAGATAAGAGTTTAAAACTGGCCTTGATCGCTGTCCCAGCTGTTACAGCTTGTTCCTAAGGTCAAATTGGGCCCTTCTCTTTTAAAGTTTTGCAAATTAGTAAAGACAATTTTCTGTTGAACATGTGGATGGAATATACTGAGTTTGTGATCTCCTGGGCAAATTTTGGATTTTTTAAAAGTCTAGTTTTGTGGTCCAAATCTGGTAGCACTACTTAAGTTTTATTTTAGAAACAAAGGGCTGAGAAAATAGAGAAACCTCATATGCCTTTTAACAAGTACTTTCTTGTTAAAATAGGCATAAAATCCCCCCAAAATACTATTATCTCCAACAGACAAAATAAATGTTATGATGTAGGTACCAACGGTGATTTTGTATATTTTTGCTACATTAAGCTCTTAAAAAATGATTAAAGTATTGATCAATTTCAGAGCAAAAAAAAATAAACATAAAATTTTATTGCAGACTATTTCTTTTTTCATTTTTATTATTAAAGCTTGTGTTTTTATAAAATTTTAACTGAAGAATCTTGATCGACCCAGATTGAATCTTGCAATATTATCCTGGGACATGTATATTTGCTTTTATTCTTAAAAAAATCTGTGGATTGGTCAACAAGAAGCCTGTTAATAAAGCATTTTTACAAATTCCAACATACTAGGCATGACTGGGATGTAGATGAGAAACATATCAGAGCTGACAATTTGTGAAATATGAGATGACTAACATCCTCAACATTTCCATGGCCTATCATGAGCTGACCTTTAAAATGGAGCAAACTGACGTGCATCAGATTGACATGCGGCTTGTTCTACCCCAATTCCAGGCTATATAAATAATCTCTGGATATGATTGGATTCACTCAAGCCAAATGTATTCTCCCTTCTTTCTATATATCTTGTATATTAAAATGAGCTTTATGCTTCTTAGCCTGCTATGACTGCACATTATTAAGCCTAGGTCTAGAGGCATTTCCTTTCTTCTTGTTATGTGCCATATCCGTCATCGGATGTTGGCGATCATGTTAGCGACCCTATTTTTATCAACAGCCACACAAAAAAGTGCTGCTGAGTTTTGTCCAAATCAGTCCCTTAGATTTTGAAGCCCTGGTGATTTTCTTCTGCCTGGACCCCATTTGCCTTCAATCTTTCCCTGGAGGATTATGTGAAGTATGTCATATTTTTCTGAGTGTCGCATCATGTGCTCAAAATATTCTAATTTCCTTTACCACAGGAATTATTCACGGACTTTTCTTCTGATTTCTTGCCATTATTTGTGCACACAACTAATTATCAGTCATTGCTTGATTTTAACTGCTTGGCTGCTAGGCAGAACCAACCAAGGACAATGTCAACCCATACATGCTTTCTTAACAATCAAGTCTCTGGTCCATCTAATATTTGGGCTCTGATATGCATCTTTGGTTGTAGAAAGACAAATTATTCTCCATCTCCTTTAAACATTCAGAACTACCACTGCATGCACAATACAGGGAGTTCTCGACTTACAACCACAATTGAGCCCAAAATTTATGTTGCTAAGTAAGACATTTGTTAAGTGAATTTTGCCCTATTTTACAACTTTTCTTGCCATATTTGTTAAGCAACTCATTGTGGTTGTTAAATTGGTAATAAGGTTGTTAAGTGAATCTTGCTTCCCCATTGACTTTGCTCATCAGAAAAGTCACAAAAGGAGATCTCATGACTCTGGGACAATGCAACTGTCATAAATATGAGTCAGCTGCCAAGTGTCTGAATTTTGATCATGTAACCATGGACATGCTGAAATGGTCGTAAATGTGAAAAATGCCCATAAGTCGTTTATTTCAGTGCCATGGTAACTTCGAACAGTGATCCAACGAGCTGTTGTAAGTCGAGGACCACCTGTAGTGAGAAATACTTTACTAGTAAAGCCCCAGTGGATCTTATTCTAGGGAGGTTTTTTTTGCCACTTGGTAAAGATGGTTTTAATTTAACAAATCTTTCTTACATCCTAAATATTGTCCATTGTATTTGAAGCCTATTTTAACTGGGTCTCTGCTGATGTTCTTAAATGTGATTTGAAATGCTATGGAATATGTTCAGCAGGGCATACGCATAAGAAGAATGAAACATTATTTTTATCATGGTTTTTCCTCATCAGATGATTGGGTTATGGTGCATTTTAGACCTACCCAATTGTACTAAAGATGATTGCAGTCATCTTTCACAGAAACCAGAAAACCAGAGTAGTGCTATTAACTTTTATCATTGAAACAACATTGTACATTTCATATACCATTGTACAGTTTGAGTAGAAAGATAAAGCTAAGGATAGTATAAATCCTTTTGCTGAATTGGAAACTTTTAGAAAGCACCCTTGAGATTACTATTCCCATAAACAGTGTACTTCATTTTACAGATCAAAACTCTGTTTACATTTGGCATTTTCTTATAAGAAGGACTAAAAAAACTAATATAAAGCTGCCCTTCCCAGTTTATTAAAACAAAAACAGTAATTAGTAAAACTAAAACAAATCATTCTGTGATCATTCAGTTATGACAATGATGAAAAAGATACTTTGATATCAATCTTTACATTTATAACCTTTGCAGGTCTGTAATGCAAAGAAAAGTGAAGCAAGGTCATCCACACAGTCATGGTTTCAATTGGCAACCACGCTGCTGAATGACCAAGTTCCTGGCTCCAACTCTGGTTATTAAATTAAGACAACGTATACCTACAAACACACTTATACTTACTCTTTATCTTAACTTCCTTCATAACCACAGAAAATTAAGCTAAATATAATTTTCTTTAGTTTAATTTAAATTCAATTCACATTTAATACAAATATATCCCATTTCTAGCTTCTGACTCTTTAATTGGGCTTTTTAAATGGAGAAAAGCAAACCTAGAACAAAGTCTAATTTGATATTATCATCTTCCTCAACAGGCAATAGTATCTCCTCTAGCACATCCAAGCCTTTGGAAGGAATTCAACCCCAAAGGGATAAAGTAATAAAAAATTCTTACCTGGTTTAAGCCATAATATTTTGCAATGCCATCTACTAAATCTGACATCAGTTTTACTTCATGTGATTTCTTATCATTCATAAAATTATCTGTTTTCATTTCTACCTCTGATCAAAAAGAAACACACATTTAGCTTAAGAGTTTGGGGAAACACGTATCACTAAAATATTGTTATATGTGCCTCTTATTTACAAACTATAGCTATGCCCAATAAATACTGGTAAGTGAAAATGCTCTGAACCAACATCACAATATATTTGCTATGCAAGGGTTTCTGAGTTTGACTTTCTGACAAAAGTTTCCAAAGATCTTAAATAATAATGTAGGCTCATGTGTCATGTTTAAACTCTATTTGTGAGCCTGTTCAGAGATAAAATTACATATCATCGCTTGATTTGCCTTTATATATTAGAACAATCAAACAGATGTCAAGTCATATAAATACCATAATGCTCCTTTTGTTCTATGTAAGAGAAGGTCATTGGAGGGACAGGAAGAAAACAGAGGCAAAGGTGGCAGAATGATTCAGGTATGAGATTGTTCCCTCCCATTTGAAGTATATGCAAAATATTTCTGTATTTGCTTAGAGCAAGAATATTCAGGGAATATTGAATATTTTTGGGAAAAGGGAATTCTTTCCAAAATAAGGAAAACTGTTTCTTTAATCAGGCATTAAAACTACTTTACATGGAAACCCCAAGCTGGAAATCCATGTGATTCAGAAACATGTGCGTTCTCGCACATGCGCAGAAACATCTGCGCATGTGCGAGAACGGAAGATGGCGCCCAGGCGTTTTGCTCCAGACGATAAGGAGAGCAAACGCCAGAAAAACATCTGAAAACCTTGAAATTTATGCGCCCGAAGAAGGTCCCGGGAATGTCCGGAATCCAGGGGACCCGAGGAGCCCAAACCTTTGCGGGGGTCGCCATTTCTGAGCGCCCCCGGACAGTACGATCTCGAAGGTCTGTGAACGGCGAGCCGCCCGCGTTATCCGATAGTGGGGGGGGGCGGCGTCGTGTCAGCGTTTTCCGATCCAGGCGATTTGCTCTGGACTATTGAGCCACAGTACTGGGGTTTTACGGGACTATTGCCACCTTGGAAGGAGAGAGAATTGATAGGACCAGCCCAGTCCCTTGCAGGGGTCGCCGTTTCTGAGCGACCCCGGACAGTGCGATCTCGAAGGTCTGTGAACTGCGAGTCGCCCGCGTTATCCGACAGTGGGGGGGGCGGCGTCGTGTCAGCGTTTTCCGATCCAGGCGATTTGCTCTGGACTATTGAGCCACAGTACTGGGGTTTTACGGGACTATTGCCACCTTGGAAGGAGAGAGAATTTCTAGGACCAGCCCAGCCCCTTGCAGGGGTCGCCGTTTCTGGACGCCCCCGGGCTTTACAACTTTGGGGTTTTAGGTTCCGTGAGCTGTTTGTATTACTTGGCGGTGGGAGGAGTAACATCACGCCGGCTGCAACGGTGGTGGCTTTTCGCCTCCCTGCCTGGCTTCTCTACCTGGCTTATCGAACTTTTTCTACCAG